ATTTCATTTACCCTTTTGTAGTGTTCTGTTGCATCTCCTTTAAATGCCCCTTTAATAGAAAAAAAAAAAAAATGTTCATTCAATTGTTTGTTTTCCTTCTCCAGTGTATAAAGGAGGCACTTTTTGGCTAGAGAATGTGAATGTATAACTCTGAAATGCATCGTGAGCTGCCGGCAGGAAATTTATAACTCATGCTTCCTTATCTGCAAGTAGCATGCTCCCATTACAGAATAGGTCAAGCATTCTTTTTGTCTAAACCACATTAGATTGCTTTTGAGGGCTGTCCTGGGGCTTAAGAAGCTCTTGCTGAAGGACTAATAGAAGATAGTGGAAAGTTCAGAATATTAAAATATACAAAAGAGGAGGAGATTTATGGACAAAATCTTCCTTCAGCTTAATCAACAACAGACATCTGTAAAAATTCTACCAAAGCCAAAGAATTACTCTGGATTTATACCAGAATAACTGTAAACAAAAATAAAGGAAATAATTTGAGAGAAAAGAATGGGAGAGAAAATCAAATACACTTAAAAGTAATTAAAAGGAAGAACTTCAGAAGAGAAAATGTCACAGCATGAAATCAGAACAATTGTGCTACTGTTTAGGTAAAACAACAATCAGATAAATGATAAGCCTAATTTTGTCTCATACCTAAACTAAGCCAAATGTTTTCTTGAATTGTGGAAAGATGAAAATGACATTTTGAATCTTTAGATCAGGAAGGAGTGAGAACAAGGTTTTTCATGGTGACAGCATTTTCAGTACAGCTAGAAACAATAGGTAACTGTGAGTTAAAGCTCATAAAAAGATGAGCATCTCTCATTACAGTACAGCTTATAACTTAATAGTCATAGCAGTCATCAAAAATTGGGATATGTGAGTTAAAATCTGCTGCCCGTACTTGATCAACAAATGTGCTCATTTCCTATGACTGTTGGTGCATTGCATACAGTGGAAGCCATTTTGGAGCAACATGATTCTCACTGAGCCTTTGCACTCCTGCATTCTAAACACCACTTAATCAGAAAATTCATGTTATAAAGCATTTAATGTAATCTTTAAAGATACAGACTCACAAAGTCAGAGGCTACCTGACTGTTCAAAAAATCTGTAAAAGTTAAGAAACTAAACTATGAGAGAAGCTTGGGTTTAAGTCCCTGAATCATTAGTGAGATCACACACCTGCCTGAGCACCTGCCTGAGTTGTTTTTTTTTTTTTTTCTTTTGAAAACAAAATCAACATCTTTAGGCTGTGTCTCTTACTGATTTAACTTACTAATCCACAACTAAGAGAAGGCTGAACAGTCAGGACATTTAAAAATAGTTCTTGATGGGAGTACATCTGGTTAGGGTCAATGAATAAAACTTTGCTAGTGCTACTTTCAGTAATAAATTTTGGTAATTTAAGTCAAAAGTTAGAGACACAAGGAATGTGGATGAACTATAGCAAACAGAAATAGAACTTTCATTTTGTGGTGTTTGGGGGATTATCTTTTTCACTGTATTCCTTGCCTTAACCGGGGCAGTATTTTCATTTTGCAATTCTAGATATGATTCAGCCCTCAATTCAAAAGCCTAGCTCTAAGTGTCTAAGTTTATGTGTTAGAAGTTATATCAGAAGGGATACCTTATCGCTCTCTGCATCTACCTTAGAGGAGGCTGGGGATTGGTCTAGTCTCCCACGTGCCCGATAGCATGAGAAATGGGCTAAAGTTGCATCAGGGGAGGTTTAAGTTGGATATTAGGAAGATCTTCTTTACTGAAAGGGTTGTTAGGCATTAGAATAGGCTGCTCAGGGAAGTGGTTGAGTCACCATCCCTGAAGGTCTTTAAAAGACGTTTAGATGTAGAGCTTAGTGATATGGTTTAGTGGAGGACTTGTTAGTGTTAGGTCAGAGGTTGCACTAGGTGATCTTGGATGTCTCTTCCAACCTGGATGATTCTGTGATTCTACACCTATTTCCTTAAAGATTATTTTAACTAATATCTTTTCAGAGCAGAAAGATACATTGATGAATTTGACTTTAGCTTCCACCTGAAAAGTTCATACTGTTCTACTATAAGAGTTATATTCACTAATCATTTTGTGGACAATTTTTATACAGGGATGTGAAGATGTGGATTAGGTAATTCTGCGGACCCTCCTGAACTAGACAGACCCGATGACCCAGGTGGCCTATTACTAATAGCCAGGTTTCTTCAAGCTATTTGGTCACACATATTAGACGTCAACAAGTGAAAACATGACAAAATACCTGGGAATTCACACAGTAATTTATACGTATTTTGTATAATCTGCAAGTCTGTAGTTTGCTTAAATTACATATGGCACAATTGTGGTTTGAACTCCGTTTTTCCTTTTTGTAGCTGAACAACAGGAGAAGACATAATAAACTTAGAAGTACAGAATTGTGTGGACAGGAACCCCAACAATAAAAAAATGCACTATATTATATAACCTGGACATTTAAACTTTTTTAAATAAAAACAAAACAAAGCAACTTAAATCTATTTTGCAGTGATTGCAATACCTACTACAGTATCCTCTATTCTTGAATTTCCTCAGGCATATAACTGCAATCACTCTATATCCTTTATATGCATTCAAACATTAGTGTCCCTTGAGATTCCTGTGGGAAATGTTCTTTTCTGGTTCTATTTCAATCAAAATCGTCAGTCATGGTATATTGATTATAGACATAAAAAATAAATAAATAAATTTCCACAAACATAACTACGCAGCAAAATAAGGTGAGAACTGCAGGACTCTTTTGCTTGTATGCAGTATTTACTACTTCATAAGAAGCTCTCAGGAGAAGCAGACTAAAACCTTATGATGAATGTCTCAGAATTTACTTTAGACTGTTCAGCAGGGAAGATTCCCCACAGAAAAGTAAGGAAAGTTATAAAGTAAAATAAATATTAAAAGGTTAATAAAAATATAAAAACATTATAAATGAACAATTCAAAACAATTTCAAAAATGATGATTTTATGCAACAGTACTTTGGTTGACTTAAGGTTGACTTAGTGTTTTTAAAGACTTGACTGTGATTTTATATATAACACTTAAAAAGAGTGAATTTATTAATTTAATACCTTCACAACTAGTGTTGGCATATAATATGGTCAACACAGAAACAGTGTTCTTCAAATGCTATAGAACATTTAATATGTACAGCTAATGTCTAATCATCTTCACTGGTCAACACAGAAAGAAAACATGTTGACACGGCTGTTTAATTAGAAAATGTATCAGACAATGAAATTGCCAGAGAAACTGAGCAGGCTTTAATTGGTGTAAATTTTAAATATCCATGTGTGAATATTTCTTCACTTTTTTTCTTTGGACTTAACATTTAAGCTATACTCAATCTAGTCTTAAGTATTAACGCCAATAGATTCACATCCATTGATTAGCTTTATGCACAATCTGCTATGGATAGACGTAGTAGAAATTATCATTGCTGTGGCAAAAGGACAAAAGTATCTCCCTTCAGGAAAAAAACAAACAAACAAACAAACAAACAAACAAAAACCTTCTGATTCTTTCCTGGGCTGCCCAGATTTCGGGGTCTTCATTTTGTTCCATTTGAACTTTTTTAACAGTTAGTTCAGAAAGATGAAAATCCACTGCAGTCATATAGCTGAATCCCATGAGATTTAATGATCCTCTGTATGTAATACTACCGTGGAAAAAAAGTGAAAAACAGAAGACCTGGAACATAATAGCAAAAATGCTCTTTAGTAAAGTCCTTGATTTTCAATAATGCCTGTAATTTTTCTGTTGTTAGATTATATGGGATTTTTCCACAAAAAGCTTGTTTACAGTTCACCATGTATTTTGCTTTTGGCATTACACTTCTTTATGAGGGGTGGGTTATGTGTTTTGTCAAGTTCTTCTGAACCCCAAATCCCAGCAACAAGAAAGAGAAATTGTTTCATTCCAAAACCTCTCCTATATCTGTCTATGTATAGATACTCTGATCTTGTTCAAGCAAAACAGAGCCAAAAATACATTCTCAGATTAATTTCTTCTATTTAGACTTCAACATTCACTCAGGAGAATGGCACTAGGAAGATCCTAAGGAACAAGATTATAGCCTGTGCTACCAATACATACCTTTCTTCTTTTCCTGCTTAAATTCAGTAAACAAAGCACTTAAATTCTTTATTATTACAAATGAAGACATCTATTTCCTAAAATGAATTCAGATACAAAGTATAAGTCTAAGACAAGACCATCTGATTTATACCAACACAGAAAAGGAAAATTAATAAACTGCACCTCTATCAAACTATTATGAAATTACTTACTAAAACTAACAATTTACTCAATTTACTTTTTTTTTTTCTTTTTTTTTTTTTCTGTGAGGAAAAGGAAAAACTACATCATGGCAGAGACAGTAAATCAGGTGATCACAGACTTGCATAGGCATGACAGATATGACAGATTTTTTAAGTGTAGTTTTTGTTTGTTTGTTTGGGTGTTTTTTAACTTCTCATATCTGCACAAAACACCACCATAGTCTTTTGCTATTGTTTTCTAAGTACCTTAACTTCACACTGAACACAGGTTCATGGAATAGACTTTGGGCAGTGGCAAACATAGGGATAAAAATCAACAACAACAACAACAACAACAAATCAGAATTTTACAATGCAAACAACAACAAAAAATGATAGAAAATGCTGTTCTTTCATAAGAAAATGAATGGCTGCTCTGTTTTCTATGTGAAATCGTTGTCTGAACGTTGTAATGTTAGTTTATTTTATAGTGTTTGTGCGATATATAATTATTACTTTTTTTTCTACAGTCACATGTGAAGATGATATTTTGACACGCATAGTAAAGTCAAGTCATTCAGCAAAGATTTTTGGAATTCATATAGTAAATCCTGGTTTTGAATTGTCATGTCTTCAGAAACATCAAAGAATGGAGCTGGATTCTTTTAAGCAGCAAGGAATAGTTTCTGGGCAGCATTTAATCCAGCACAGCTGACCACGCAGAAGAATACCATGATTCCAGTACAACATTTTTTTCTCCAGTACAACTCTTTCCAGTACAACAACCACTCTTCCTTCTGCTAATGAGGTAAAGTAAACTTTTTTTATGACAAGCAGGAGAATTGGTAAGAAATTTCTCAATGGAGGATAAAGAGGTTTTATCTTACCTGTCTGTTCCTGTGGGAATAACCACAAAATAATATCATGTGGCCCTTAAATATGATTACTGAGTAGAATTTTAAAATACCACAAGCAAGACTTGTGGAAATAAAAATGGAGAAGTAACATATGAATGTTAAATACATCTTAAATATATATATATGCTAATTTTTCTGTGTCTAAGTATCTTATGCTTTTCAAGAGTCATTTTGTATGAAGTAGTGTTTCCTACTATGAAGTAGTCACTGAAGTCATATTATTACGAGCCTAAAATCACTAAAACTCAGAACATATATAAAAAAGAAAGGTATTAAGTCTTTTAACTTATAACTGGTTTTTAAAATTTAAATCTTCTAAATGTCACTTAGATTTGGCTCCCCCAAGAAATGAAATCATCAGAGAGGTATGGTTCAAGCATATTTTGTTTGATAAGTATTTTTTTTAATTTATTTTTATATATTGACTTTTTTTTTTTCCTTGTATTTTCAGATGTCTAATGTCTTTATGAGTTATAACCTTTCCACTTCCAACTTTGAGAATTATTTTATTTGATTGATTGGTATAATTAGGCTGTCTAGTGAAGCGGTGGCAATTCCTTGTGCTGCTAAGCAGGAACGAACTCCATGCTGAACTCTCACAGCCTGGGATGGCCAACAATGGGCTTGCCATAGAGAAGATGAGCTTGACCTCTGGGGAAGGTGGTGGACTCAAAAAGCAGACCTGCTTACAGTGAGCAGAAAGCAGCTGCTCATGCGTCTTCAATAGCTGGACACAAACTTGTATTTCATAAGGTCCAATGTAAAGGAAACAGTGGTGAAGCAAGATACTTCATGAATACAGAGACAGAAGAACAGACGGGAAGGTAATTCTTCAGAATTCCAAACTCTTGGCTTCTGTCTTATCTCAATGTATAGAATATCTGTAGATATAAAAACATATTTTAAAACAATATTGACTTCAATTATCTTCCAGCCCAAGGGACTTGGGCTGGAATATTCCTTCTGTCATATTCCAACACTTCAGACACATCCTTCACATTAAGTTCTGTTTGGGTTAGGAGCTCTAATGAGACAGCTAAGAAGCAAGAGAATTATCTTTAAAAGATGTTAAAAAATTATAGCCAAAACGATAATGATGCACCCCTCTACCAATAAAATATTTGACTGTATCTTATTTTATATAGTTACACAGATACATAAAAGTTAGACTAATAAATCTAGATTAGAACCTAAACCTTCATATCAGTGTCTTCATGAAAAATTTACATGTTCATTCATGTTTAATATTGGTCTTCACTCTGTTATATGGGTTTTTCCTCTCCTTGCTAGAGATTACAACATTCATGTATACACAATGATGACATATTTTCTTATATGATCTGAGAAATTAAAATAATTCTAAATCTTCATATAAAAACAGAATAAATAATGTTTCCTTGAGGGGAAAAATAAATCATAACTTCTGTTACTTTTATTTTGCTTTGTATGTCATTTGATATTTTCTTTCAATTGTTCTTAATTTCACTACTCTTAATTTTTGTGATTAAAAACCATTACACTGACAAATCAGAGATATTTGTTTGTTCAGGTAATCCCTAGCTGGTAAACACTAGCTGCAATACTTGATGCACCAACCCAATAAAAAAAAAAAAATCAAGTCAAAAAATTGGAAGTTAAAACAGAGGCAGATGTGAGTCTTGGAAACTAAATTGTCTTTTAGAAAGTCACTGTAAATATATGGTGAATACATGTAATTTTGTTGAAATTCCTTTAAAAAGTGCGTATGTTGAAAACAGATTAGAGTTATTAAGGAACCAGACATTTTTGACTGATAGAATCTTAGAGAAAAGAAAAAAAAATCCTGTTTGTGTGTGCAGATAGCAACAGTAAACTCCCCCCTTAGAAACTGTGCTAGAAATTTCCATATCACAGCTGCCCAGAGTGCATAACAAGGAGAATATTAGTAATGTCCAGATGCACATAAATCTACAGGGATGCCTCTTGCCAACAGCAAAAAGAAAGAGATGACAGTGTCAATCACATCCAATAGACTATGTTAATGCTTTTCAAACAGTTCTTTCACACTCAAAAATAGGGCTCATTAATAATGTATGGTCCAGTATGAAGGAGAAGGAATGTTGTTTCCAAAACTGATAGAATTCATTGTTCATCTCTATACTCATCTGAACAATAAAGTCCCATTTCTGAAGGACAATTTTTCTTTTGTCTTTAGGACTGTGCTGAAATGATTTCAAACCAATTATACTAATTGTCCCCTTTAGTTTTCTAGGGTGTGCTGCAAATGTTGCACTTTAAGAGACTTCTCTCCCCCACTGTCTCCAATCCCCCCCTTTGCTCTGACTGGCATTTCTGGATTGTATGAGTAACTTAGCAAGCTTTTCAAAATTGCTGGGTGGGTGATTGTGCACAGCTTTTCTCTGTTCCTACGCTCTGTTGTTTGAGCAACTGTCAGGAAGGTGGGCCTGTGGTTTGCAGATATATTTTGAGACTAACAGATTGTAAACTCACACATGAGAACAGAAGAAATACTTAGAATTTGGAAAGGTTATCCACCCCTTGGAGACTAATCTCCTAATACATTATTTTTGTCAGAAAGCAACTCAATTGCTTCTCAAACAAGCCCATTATTTTTGCCTCACAAACTATTCAGAGTCATGTTTATAACTACTTGCTCATAAAAAAGGTCTTTTTATACCTGTGTGAATTCAAATTTTATTTACTTTCAGTTATTTCTCTTTGTTCTATCATTTTAAATGGCAGCCTGTATTTGAACCAGTGGCTTGTAATGTTTCTGTCCCAAAAGACAAGCAGGTCATCAAGACATAAATTGGTGCACCTTCCTCTCTTGCTCTGATAAAAAAAAAAAAAAAAAAAAAAAAAAAAAAAAAAATTCATAAATAGAGTAGGCTATCAAAATACTTAGCTTTTTGGGTTGTTCACTACAGACAGTCCCTTCAACTTTGCATCAACTCTAAAGGATGACACACACAGACACACACACACACATATATATGTGACACCAAGGTAATCTTCCTATACACCAAGAACAACAGGAGCAACAGTGACTTCACAGCCACTTGATCTTTCCAGTTAGTCAGAGTTAAGTTCAGTCTTCAAATTTCCTCTGCAATCCATGTATCACACTGCAATGGGAAGAAAGGAGAAGAGATGTCAGTGAACGTTGTGGTCTTGTAGCTCGCAACTTCACAATTTCTTTTCATTTTATAATGTACAGAACTGTCCTTTTGATTCCATTCTGAGATCCTCATGTCTTACCCTAGGCCATGAGAACTTAAAGATCCTACTTTTCTTTTGGTGCAGTTAAAATTTATGGTTATTGCCAAGCTGGGTACTGCTCATTTTGAGTAATGTTATACGAATCTGTCAACTTGTTTGCTTGCCATTATTATTAATATTATTTATTGTTTTATTATTATTGTCGTTGTTGTCATTGTTTCTCTCTAAAGACAAATGACTTTTTTAATTTTGAAAATCTTTCAATCAGCCTTTATGTTTTTATGAGTTCTGGTGTATGAAGTTTCAAGTCAGGAACTGGCTCAGTGTATGTATTGATGCATTGAGTTCTTTCTCTTACAAGTTCTTCAAGTTCTTTTTTTTTTTTTTTTCTTTGTTCCTTTATCTAATTTATAATTCTTTGTTACATATGCCTCAAGCAAGACATTAGAATACTTTGAGATGATAAAAAAGTAAAATAACTAAAACTAAATGAAAATTTTGAAGATCCCAATTAAAAAGTAAATATAAAGCTCTCCAGAAAGCAATTCATGAAAAAGGACTTTCAAATAAAAAAAGTCATACAACGTCCGATTTTCTTTTTTTTTTTTGAAATTTTCCAAAATCATGCTCTCCTGGCTTTTGAGACTTATCTTCAGTTAAAACTCAAAAGATAAGTGATGTTAGACAAATTTATATATTAACCTCATTGTTTAATTTTTATGAATATTTGAAAAACAATAACAAAGGTATATCAAGCTTTTCACATCAAAAATGATTACAGATTAATTATTACAGATTACAGATTATCTGAAGTATGGATATGTTCCTCATAAACATGAATCATGAAAAAAAAAAAAAAAAGATCTGTCTACAATGAGACCTCTTAGCTCAAAAGTGTGTGGTCATTCAGGAGAAAACAAAAACACAGGAGTAAATATTTGATTCATCATAGTTATACTGGGCTGTATAAGTCTTTTCAACAGATTGAGAAGAGAGAAGGCAGAGCAATATGATATTTGAATCCAATCCAGGCAAATCTGTTAGGGAACGCCAAGCATTGCCTGAAATTCCTCTCCATTCTGGGTCCCAGAAGCCTCACTCCAATGCCATCTTTTAAAATAGTTGCCTCCATCATGTCTTGTCACACAGAGCAAAGGCAGGCTAATATGGGTGGTCAACAGTCAAGAATGATGGAAGCCCAGCGGTAGCTCCTGGGCACAGTAGAGACGTTAGAGTAATCAACAGAAACATACCAAGCAGACAGGTCACATCAGCTTGAGCCAGGCCTGGCTGCTCAGCAAACCTGAAACATCTGACACAGTAGCTGTGGTAAGGGGGAGACAAGCAGAGTACCCAACAGTTATGTCTCCAAAAGAAGGAGACTATAAATTGTTAACGAGTTTTTCTTAACATATCTTGTCAGAGCTTTCATCTTCTCCCACTAATAAAAATGCAGTTTGTTATCTATGTGATTTGTATGTGCAACTGAACAGAACTGTCTCGTTGATCATCATATTGTTCAGTATAATTTTTGCAAATTTCTATTTTTTTTATTTTTTTTTTTAGTGATTTTCTTAAACTTGAACCAGATCTTGCTGCTGACAATAAAGTCTCGCAGAACATTACTCTTTGCTAGCATTGCTATGTAAGCACCCTACAGGAGTTGCCACATAAATAAGTTCGAAGTTCAGCATCATCATTATCCTGAGATAAACATTAGAGCTTTTTATTTATTTTTCCCCACTATCCAGAAGAATCCTGAGCAGCAGCATAGAGACTGATCTTCATGAAGATACACTTTCTCTCTCCCACTAATCTGCAGAAAAATATCCAGGCCTCATTTGGTAACTTCTGATGGGAAAATAACAACACGGCATTGTACAATCTGTATGATAGGGCATTTACTAGGGTCAATCAATATGTCTTCTGTTTCCAAGGCAAGAAAGAAGTCTGCAGTGTTTCATACAGTAGGAAGCTGATGACAGCCCTCCTTTCCAATAAAACTGCAGGTGTCAAGTGTGGTGGTTTTACCCTGCTATGCAGCTGAACTCTACTACAACCACTCTCTCATTTCCACTCCTCAAAGGGAAATGGGGGAGAAAATATGATGGAAAGGACTCAAGGCTTGAGATATGGACAGGGAGATCACTCACCAGTTATTGTCATGGGCAAAACAGACTCAGCATACGGAGATTAGTATAATTTACTGCCTATTACTAGCAGACTAGAGTAGTGAGAAGCTAAAAGCAAACTGAAAACACTTTCCCACTCATACATCCTCTTCTATGTCATCCCCCTGAGCAACACAGGGGAACAGGTATTGGGGGCTGCAGTCAGTCCCTAATGCTTCATCAGCCTCATAATATCATTTTAATGAAACTCTGAAAATGGAACTGAAACGGTTCCTTGTAGCCCAGCATGCTCTGATTAACATTACTTTGGAATAATTTGATTCTTAAATATCAATGTATTTGTATATCTTTCAATATTTACTCTGAATGATCCCTGGGAGACATATATATCTATATTATTTAACCTGATGATGCTAGATATTTGGAATTGATATGCTTATAAATCTTTCTTAGTAGAACCAATTTAAAGTAGAATAACTAGTAATTGAAGAACATAGGAAGTCTTGCCCACAGTGAAAGCATGACTTCAAGTTAAATATGTATGATGGCTTTATTAGGGAATTCATTACAGAAGATCATAATAAGAGTTTACTATTTTAGAATATACGATGTAGTTTCCATCAAATACCTGTTTGGCATAGAATATTGCAATACAGTCAAGGCCAGTTTTCTTCAAATCCTAATGAGGAAATTATTCAGCTCTGTAGGAAAATCAGAAAAATGTGTATCTATATTAAAAATTAGCATGGAACTTATTCTAGTAAGAAATCTATGTATACATGATTCCATTTTAAAATAATTGAAAAGATGTTTTGCTCTTAAGAAAATCTATGCACCTAACTTAAAGTTAATGGAAATTATCTCAACTTCTGGATCTGTTTACTGAGTATTTACTTAATCATCGGTTTCATGGAAACAAAATGAAAAAGTAAAAAAAAAAAAAATAAAAATAATAAAAAAACAAGTAACAGACAGCAAATCTGACCCAAATGGCATCACATAAGAAGATAATGCATGGTTTGTAGGACAAAATTAATTTACTAGATAACATCTGAATCCATTTATGGACTCTTCCTGAGAATGCTGATGTGGAGACATGAGAAGTAAAAAAAGCCTATAATATTGTAGAACATAGGCTCACTTATAGCTGATATATGGTCAGGATTTCACTTGCAATTTGAGCTGAATGAGCCTATTTTCAAGTTATATTTTTATGTCTCTTTTCATAAACTCTTCACCACTTCTTTACTTATAATTCTTTGCCACTTCACTTATATTTACTGGAGAGCATTCAGTCTTAGAGAGGAGGAAGATTCACTGTTCTT